TCAGAATTTCAAATGAATTTGACCACCCTGCCATTCTAGAAAGTTAGGCGGAGATCCAGGCTTGTCCAGAGAGAAAACCGCACCAGACATATGGCTTACATCGATAAAGCATGCTGATGGTGTAAATCCATCAACATTATGGATTGCCCTGCCCACAGTCGTGATTCGAACTGCACTCAAAATGTGTGAAACATGCTGGCGAGGAGAGTCCATGGAAAAGAAAGAGTTTAAAATATTACCTACCAACTGAGGTTTATTATTATATTCAGTGAATGAAGAAAATTCTAGAATGACAAAACTCAAAAGGCTATTGGGAGCATTCCTAGAGGGATACTTTTTCGTTCGATTTGATCACAAAGTGGTTGTTTTTATCAATCCGCATTCGACCGCAATATGGTGATTAAACTAAAGACCAACATTAATGATTTAAATTTTAGGCTTGAGCAAAAAACGACGAAAAAGGCGAGCAAATACTTTAGGCGCACTGCGTGCATTACGCTTCACGATAAAAAGGGGATCAATGCGACTGAAGCGTTTCAGCAGGAGTTCTTGCATCCACTCGAAGAACCAGTGGCGCGTGCTTTCACATACGTTTTATTCAATAGGAAATATTAAATACTTCCATGTGAATTTCTCATCCCAATGGGATAAAAGTGATGTACAGCACTGAACAGTTACAGGAAACCTTCAAAATAAATAAATCTGGGCGTCCGCGTAGTGTTTTGTTCATCGCCTGGAAAATGAAATGAAAGCTTTGAGTGCTATGCGTTCGTTAACTATCCGTCCAGAACAGCAACAGCGGCAACAGTGAGTAAATAAAACAATGACTAATTTTGAATGAAGATAACTCATTCCCCATGAGTGAACAGCAAACAGTGAAAAACATGCATTCCAGTCTTGTTAAAAAGTTGATAAGCTCTTCCAATCAGAATTTAGCTATTTCCATTCAGCTGTCCTAGAAATGTCACAATGTGTTTTGGAGTGAAACACCTTTAGGCTAATAGTTATTTTCAGTGAGAAAATTAAGAGAGTATTCCTACCAGCAGGAAATAAGAGTGAAACAATTGTCACAAGGCAAACTAGACCTTTTGATCAGCCTTACACTGCCGTGGTAGGGTTTCTACCGTGGTTCCAATCAATAAGCTTACTCTCCCACTGTTTCACTCTGTTCCCCCCGTGCGTGGCTGGTGACCTTTGACTTTCACATTGATATTGCCTAATCAAGTGTTTTTGATGGTTATAGATTTGTCATTGTCCTGATTGAACTTTCGCGCGAATGTTTGTACACGGCAGAGGAGAGATAACGTGAAACAGTTGAATTCAACCTGTTCTGTGATGGTTTTGATTCGTCATGGATAAGAAAGCCTGTTCCGTACTGTCATCACCTCTAAGTACATCATTCATATTTGGTTTTAAGAATATATATATTCGGAAGCTCAATACATTGCGACATCATATTTCGCCAACACAAACACTTCTAAGTTCCCGAGTTACTATTGTACGTGATGGCATTTCTACATATAACAGGGTGAAGTATTGTTTATCTTAGAACAATGGCATGACTAGATAGAAAAGCAAGCTGCTTTTGAACGTCCGGTAATATAAAATGTTATCAAATGGGGTTTTGAGAATCATCGGTGTGCATTATGTAGACAGTATTCCGGGACGCGGCGATGGCTTCCTTGAGAAGAGTTCACAACTGCCGGTTTTATAGTCATTACACCAAAGCATGTGTGATGGTGCATCAGGGCTGCTCCACAGAAATGAAAAAGTGATTGTCTTTTTTTAAAATGCAACCACTTCTGTGTTCCCGAATTATGGACTACGCTTTACTTCCTAGTGTTGTGAGATACTACACACTTGTGAGTAGTAGATTAAATAACATGGTGAATACTTTCAACGACCGAAAATGAACAAGATCACTGAGGGCAATTTGCTGGGTCTCAAAGAAGATTTATCGATTTCTACATTCACAACCCGTCGTGTGGACAGGAACTGCGATGGTATGTTTCTGATTAGGTTTTTGTGTTATGTATGCCAAATTGGTGAGGATTCACCTGAAATCCTCAATAAATATCCTCGACCAGAACGGCCTTCCAAAATTACGGCACTAATTCCGTTGCAGCAAAACCCGCTTATCCGAAAGTTCACAACTAGTGAAAATAATGTTTTCTATCACATTTTCTGAGGGATAAATCAATGAAACTAGTATCCCTAAGGGAGTACAAAACTCTCACTGTGTATGTTGAATGCAAAATGGATCAGTCTGAAATGGATGAGCTCTTTTTTTCTTAAACCAATCATCTGTTTCTCTATTGAAACGATTTGTAACCAAATTGAACGAGGGATCGATCCATTTGGGATACAAGGGACAGCGTTGAAGTAGATGGAGAAAAGAATTGTCATCTAGTCATGCAGTGTGATCGAATTGGACGCTAGTCCACAAACAATCAATATCCGACCCTGACACTGTTCAACCTCCCTCTCTGTTAGATTCCATTCACAAGCTCACAAAAAGTAAACAAAACAAATAATTTATAAGAGATTTGAGTGTACCTGAACAATTTCCGTACGCCAGTCGGAAAGACGCGCTTTCAGTTGTTTGATTTCCAACGACATTGCGTCCCGCGCGTTTAGCAAAAAGACCGAATGACAGATGTCCAGTTTGGATCTACAATTGAACCCCAGTTGGTTGAGAATATTCGTTTGTGAGATGAATTGACGACAGGGAAACGGGTGTCAATGAGTAGTGGTCAGAAAAAAGTTGCGTTAGATAAGATGATTGCCTGATTGCTAGACAACAAAGTATGGTACATTTTTTTCATATCAACTAAGTTTATGTTTTCTCGCAGGGTGGAAAAATGTCAAGTTGTCTATTTTATTGTATTATCCCTNAAGCAGTCCATCCAACCATCTCTCACGATCTGCAATGATTCATATGCGTTGCATTATCCTGAGATGATTATGAAACACAGGAAGTGGGCTTTCTCGATACTGAAACTGCATTGCAGATGTCTTGGCGTGATCTACACATGTGTTAACATTTTAACCTATACGTTCATAAAGCGTATACTGTGTAGTGCTAACCTCGTACGATAAGATTGAATTCATTCCATTCCTCGTTGGCAGACGCATGGTTGATGCGAGGCTACAAGGGATCAGTAGTATATGTTGCTCTGCACTTACTTATTCAATCGACCTGTTTATAATGAGGTAGAGTCCATGATAGACTGACTGCTTTTGTTTACGTCTGACATGATACAATTTGTATAATGGCAACACAACTATGTAAGTTGTAATTGTGAAAACACATCGATTTCAGTACGCGTGAAAATTAGCCAACGTTTCGGTTCCCGTGCGTAATCTTGATCAAGGCGATTTTATAGTCACTGTGTTTTCACAACCACAACTTACATCAAACATACGAAATGGCGCATCGATTTTCGATGCACTCCGAACGTCCTTCGGATTTGACACTATCAATACGACTACACTTAGCGCCAATGCAAATAGAAAGAGAAAAATTGAGAGAAAAAAGCAATAAATATTTCAAAGACAGGTTGAATTCAAAATTTATTTGAACAGGCAATTCAGCCGACAAATAAAGCGAATTAAGAAATCTAGTTGGTATTAACCATGTGTGTGTGATTGATGTTATACGTAGGCGACCGATGAGAGTATACAAAAGGAATTCCTCTCGCAGGGTTTATCTTCTAACCTACCTGTGTCAATGAGTAGTGGTCAGAAAAAAAGTTGCGTTAGATAAGATGATTGCCTGATTGCTCGACATCAAAGTATGGTACATTTTTTTCATATCAACTAAGTTTATGTTTTCTCGCAGGGTGGAAAAATGTCAAGTTGTCTATTTTATTGTATTATCCCTGCAAAACTCATGGGTTCCATGGTTTCTTCATATTGCCAAGCTTTCAGGGTTTCCGCCATCACCCGTGTAGCTCAGGAGCAGTTGGTTTGAGCTCTAACTCACCTGATAAGTATCAACCAGGATGAATTAGTTACCTACGGGTCTCTGTTTTTAGTCATAAAACATTCTATCCAGTTAGAAAGAATGTTTTCAAACATGCTGGGGTTTCCTCTGGTCTTCTGAGTGAATACAATAATGTTTATGCCATAGAAAATATATGATCAATGGTAGTTCTTAACACGGGTAACAACTGTAGCGGGGTTTCATATTTTTCGGATAGAGAGCTAGGAATTGACTAGGTACAAAGCCTTTACATTTCACAACCATCTGGTGATGTAGGAAACATAATGAGTATGCTGGTGTGTATATATATATATATATACGTATACAACGTGATATAACTGTCATCAAAAATACCTCATTTTAAACACAAGGTTTGAACAACCCTTTCAGAATCAGTTCATTTATGAACTAGGGTCATGATTATATGTTTACAATAAGTAGCATATGAACAACTCCACAAAATGTTCCTGCAAGCTTCCAAGGAAGGTTTATTCAGTCAAACTAAGATATTGACATGGTACAGAAACAGCTGTGCTCGCGGATGTGCGTTCTGATAAATGGGTGTTGATCAAATTTGTCAAGCCCCCATTGAAACCTCGGCTGTAAGCATGAATCGTGGTGAATCTGCCAAAATTGACGGTTTTAACATTCGCCATAATGATGCTTTTAGTTTACTAGAAGTGATACTGCTACTGGTAATATATATACTATATATTATATATTAGGAAATCTAGTTAGTATTACCCATGTGTGTGTGTGATTGTGTACAGTGTGTGTGATGCACGGGACTGGTTACAGCCAGGGAAGGCCAAGGGTAAAGGTCATACGTTTTTGGATGCACTGTGTGGGTTTGTTGTGAGCGATCGATAATGTCTCGAGTATCCTTAGTCGGTGTTTGTCTCGATGACGTACGCGACCGATGAGAGTAAACGAAAGAAATTCCTCTCGCAGTGTTTGTCTTCTGAATTGCCTGTTCAAATTCATTACGGGATTCAAATGTTTCAAAATTTATTCATCATCGCACACTTACCTGTTCTAGAAATGCAGGTGTAATGTACACATTGTCAAACGTGTCCTTTGAGACCCAGGATTTGCGAAACCTGGCAGCCTGTATCACCAGTTGGAGCATAGTAAGCAAAGTCCAGATAACAAGAATCCATGACAAGATGAACTTTCCATGTTCCACTGTGTTCACAAATGTATCCATGCGTTTTTGTAAAATAGACACCACCGTATCGTCACTTTCGATGGTCAGTTTATCGAACTGGTCAAAATTTCCTTGTAATGTCAAATTTTCTCGACCCAACAGGTCGAGAATTCCGTTCATTTGTTGTGTCAAATTATCTTTCGATGTGATATTCATATAATCTTCCAACAACTGTGCTTGTTTATCACATAAGTGAGTGAAATCTAACACACCACTACACGTGTCCGCGGCGAACTGACGCACAAAACCACAGAAGAATTTACTGACAGTCTGGATACAATTGAAATAGATATTATTAAAAAAGGATAAACATTGATTTTGTAAAGCCACCTTGTCACCGCACGCATCGACCAGCGATCGAACCCAGCTAGACTGTTGTGTCATCACATTAGTCACTTTGAACAGGGATAGATTGATCGCGTTTAGAGAGAATCGCATTCGATTCAATGTCTTGTTCAAATTGTCAATCAACGTTTGTAGCTGATTACGAAGCAAAGAGAACGGTGCTGCGGTCAGCTTTTGCAAAAGCATCATATTAGTACTGACTTGGGCCAGTATACAGGCGATCGCGTTACGAAAGTTTCCGGAGTTGTGCAAAAAATTCAATCCGGGCCCGGTGATTGACAAGCTGGATGCGTATAACATGAGCAACCATCGAACACGGCTTGCTGCCAAATAGGGCAGAGTAAGCAATGCGACACAGCGAAAATCTTCCGAGAATGCAATGCCAAACACCGAGGCAAGCATCACATACGCACTGAGTAGAGTGGACAGCCTAGGATTGTGTGAGAATGTGAGCAAAAATAGCATGTAGGAAAAAAACCCGACTAAGATGCCCAAAATTAGTCCGACCACATTTTGTCGTAGCATTTTGGTCGGATCTTTCAAGGCGGATGCTAGAGAGCCGTGAAATTCACATTGGAGTGTATATGTACAGAATAAATTGTTCAGTATACCCCAAAAGTATGATAATGGTCGTAACCACAACGACGTTCTCTCCATATTTCGGATTATTGTGTGCTGTCTCTCTTTTTCCATCAAGTCTTGTTCAGATTCGACTTGTGCTGTGTTATCGGTGATTTTCAGATTGCTTATATTCTTATCCCATACCATATTCGGGGAATGTGAATCAGTCTGTACAATATGCTGTGCGTTCACTAGATCACGATGATGCTCACGATGCCCACGATGTCTTTCGGGATGTTTCTTACGGCCTCCTTCAGCCTTTGGTTTCACGTTTATTTGGTTGTTGATATTATGTTCACTCGTTTCAAATAAGAATGAATCTGTATTGTAGCGATGCGAAGCGGCAGTGTACAGTTTCGCGGTTCTATCCATTCCTGCAAAAACAGAGTTTGAGGGGTAATGTGGCGGAAACATTGTTTTTTGCGTTTCTTCCATCTTGACTATTTTGCGGAGGTCAGTTTCACAATTATTTTATTGTGCTACTTTTCACTGGTTCGTGCTCTGATTCTCATTCAAGCTCTCACTGAGAGCCAAAACAACATGCATTTGTTCATACAAACCGCCTCTGGGGTTTGAACGTTTTTGATCAATTCCACAATCTAGATCGGTCGACTGAATGACCTCATTTGGAACACGTGATTTGAATTGAGGGCTCACCTGAGTGTACCTTGGCCAACGAGTGTTTGTTTTGCATCAGCCTAATGTCTCGTTTTGATCCCAATAAAGCAATAATTCGGCTGTTGATGGTGACGGAGGGAAAATTTCAGATCACTTCAGTGCAGTTTGCACAAAACGAATATGGCACTTGCCAAACGAGCGTCCAGTTCGTTGTGTTGTCGGCGGATGAAAGTAGCTTCCAGCACTGCGTAAAACTAATTTGGTTTTTGTGATCCTCTCAGTTTGGCCCCGTTTCCGGAACTTAATCTTCGTTGTTGGGGGTATGCTGAAAGGGAGAAAAACAAGTAAGGATGTCTCATCGCCTCATTGGTTAGACCGACCATTGATGGACTACCTCTAGGTTCCTCTGCAGGTTGAACCCTATCATTCTGACATCATCAGGGACATTAATCACAGATTTTGAGGATCCTATGCCAATAAATATAAGAAAAATCAAAGGGCCTAGCACTGAGCCTTGGGGAGCCCCACTTGTAACCATCTCATGGTTAGAAATGTAGTCACCCACCTTGACTCTAAAGGGGAGATTACTCAAAAAGGCTACAATCCAGTCCCTTCCTCTACTTGTTATGCGTAGACTCCGAACTTTGAAGTCCAACCATCGATGTCTGATGGAGTCAAATGCTTTACAGAAGGCTAAGTAGCAGACTTCTACATTTTTCTCCTCATCCATACGTTGAGTGACTTCATCTAGGAACACAAGCAGATTTACGCTGCAATAAGCCATGTCGTGCCGGTGTCACCAGTCGATTGCTTGCCATGTGTTGGCAAATCTGCCTTCTGGTATGGCGCTCCAGGTACCTACACAGCACTGACGTTAGGCTTACGGGTCTATAGCTTTCTGCTTTGTATTTCGGTTCAGCCTTGTAAAATGCCACTGCGGTAGCTGTACTCCAGTCCCTGGGTAACGTAGCAGTTTGCACTGATTCCCTGAAAAGTGCAGTCAGCGGCCCGGCTAGCACCCGTGCCAGCGACTACACTACGGATGGATGGATTCCATCCGGACCTGCTGACTTGGACTTGTTCAGTTTCATGAGTTCTCGATGAACATATGTTGCATAGTTGGGAATTTTGGCGAAATATGACATATCTGTTTATCTTACTAAACCCGGATTAGTGAAGTTGACTGCTGACCTATGAACGCTTTTGAAGTACGTGAGTAGGGTTTCCACTTTATCGCGGTTACACGTAGCTATGCTTCCATCGGGCAAAGCTCTCCTTTGTGCGTGCGCTGGCTTGCACGTAGGCCTCGAACCTTTTCGGGTTCTTTTTGAAACCTCAGGCGAAGTTAAACTCAGTCATATTTAGCACGTCTTTGGAGATCTTGACATCTTTTGTGCGCCAGCTTGTAGTCGCTCCAGGCTTGTTGGGTGCCGCAGAGCTTAAATTGGTCCCAGTATTGTCGGCGAATTTTCAGTGCCCTCTCTATCCCGGATTTCCACCAAATTGGTCTATGCCTGGTTCGTCCTGCCCTCAGTGCCGCGAACCATTCATTGAGGCTTGTTAACCCTGCTTTAACTACTTTCCATCTATCTTGTACGGACGTTCTGGAGATGCGTTGCATTGGGGGCCCTATATATACACACTACGCCCACTCGCTTCAGACCTAGTTGAATACATCATCCTGCGGCTTGTATATTCGTCGTAGCTAACTCCAGTTTTAGGACAGTCTTGACGAGCAGCAGTACTCCGTCTCCCTGTCTGCCGTCAGTCTTATCCTGCCTATAGCTTGTATACCCGCTTAAATGAGCAACTGTATGCTCTTTTTTCAACCATGACTATGTCTGATCTTCTGGAGCGGGCTCCTAATTCTCCTCACTTTCCACTGATACTACTCGCATTGGTGTACCACACTGTGATAATTTCTGCCTGTAGAGTTGGCGAGGATGACCTATCTATATCATCAGAGTCCTCGGGCGTAATACCCGAGGAGCCACCGCATGTTTTGTTATAGCTTTGACGGTGGGCATGTCCTCGGCTGCCCCTGACAGTCCACCTTTGGATTTTCCTCTATTACTAACTCTTAGGCCTGAAATTAGACTCTAAAGGTCTTTCAGGTCGTCTTGTCCACAGGAACCCTCATTCACCACGGATGGATTGTGCCGAAGTGTGTTGGCCAAAACCGTGGCCCAGCTGCGGGATCCAGATGACCTTTCCGATGTTTCAGGTGGTCCTGATTGTGAACAAGATGCTGTTCCCCTGCAGGAGCAGTTATCACTTTGCCTACTTTCTTGCACTTCCGTTTTACATCCCCGTCCTCTGGAAAGTACCTTGGTACCCTTGGCTCTGGGTACAGTTTTGACGTAATCTCCCGCGCGCTGCACAACACCGCTTGGCTTTTGCGTTTATTTACTTGAGGCTTGTTTGCAGACTTAATTGCGCTCAAGACCCTGCTTATTGTTTCAATCCATCTCCCCAATGTTATTTGGCGGTTGACGATTTCGAAATTTGAAAAGCGCACAAAAATAAAGTGTCTGTCAACCTCGAAAAAAAAACTGGAAATTAACATCGTGTGAAAAATTTATAATGCATGTGATCACCAAACCAAATTTATTGTAATCTTTGGCAGATGCTCATCGTATCTGAAGATTGATCATAGTATTTGGTTGATGATGAGCAGAAGATTGTACTAAAATCTCTTCAATGTCGGAAGAAATATCATTTACAAACATTCATGTCCAATAGCTTTGCGATATGTGTAAATTGCAAACGATGTGCATTACATAACTGACCACTAAAATTATGGGAATCAGTGAGAAATACTACGGTTTTCATGTCATGCAATCAATTTTGGTCAACACACCATTGAACAAACTAACTTTTGTCTCCGCTCTTTTTATTTGAGTTTAATGTTGTACATGATGCAAGTGGAAAGTGTAAACCATGGGTATTTTTATTGGTTTAAAACGTTTTATCTCAATCGACGGAGAAATTATGGTTTTCACTCGGATCAGGTTTGCCTCTCTCCCTTCTTATTATCACAGTCAAGAGTAATGTAACTGATCACGTGTTATTGCCGGTTTTCCTCATTTTCGCTTACATTTTTTTGTGTTAGTGTTGGTTGTACACATGCAGCGAACCTACTTGTCAGTTTGACGGGTGAAAACTGGTTTGACTGGCTCGCATCTGCACATGATTTATCAGTATTGTGAAAAATTGGTCCGGGTTAATAGCTTCCATCTTCGGCGGAACATTATACTGTACGGTTTATTTCGATGTATTTGATATGACCCCACAAACTGTCATTCGAACTCCAACAGACTTAACTGAAAGAAAAATAATTCAATTTTTATTAAATGGATGTCCATCTGATGTCAGATTGTCCCGAAAGATGTGAGAGAGGGATACCGGTTACAAACGAAAATCGATGGCAAATCCTATGACATATTTACGAAAAATTACAGGAATAAACTGCGACAAAATGATTGATCATCATGGTTTAGAAAAAAAGTCGTATACGGATCTTTACCAAACAGCTCACAAGTGTCGTTTGACGGAGACTCGGTGCTGCACCATTTAACGTATGTGTACATCATACAGAATGATACCTGTCTGAAACACTTTTCGCGTACCACAGTTTTATCAGTTTCATCTGTAGGTGTAATTACGTCCCCTTTTCCGTTGTAGGGCCGAATTACATGAGTACAACAGACATGATGTTTGTTGGGAAAATGATTAGGCTTATGTACAAAATTCGATGATTCCACCTAATCGACATAGCGTGAACAGTACAAGTTGATGAATATTAGTGATCTCACGCCACTTGATGAAAGCCAGTCAAAATGTCAACACAGCTGAAGCTTTTTTACTTATTCTTTGTCATTGCGATGAACATCGGCTACTCGGTCAATCGTTCATCCTGAGCCAATCCCATGGGTCCAAAAAATATTGGCCCTGCCCCCATATTGCCTTAGCGTTTATTAGTGGCACAATAGGTAATCTACTGTTATTATATATTTCATTTGGCGAAACATAAGATGTGAAACGTAGACGTAAAAATGTAGCGGTAATACAGATGTGAATAGTCAACGTTAAATGCGGGAATTATGTGCATTTCGTACAATTTTCTGTCGGAATCACAATGGAGAATCTGGTGCATTTCTCCTGCCTCATAACTATTTGATAAAAATTACCTGCAAAATGACGTCTAATGAAAATGGAGGAGGAAGGAGATCTATGGGCTCTACATCTACCAAGTGTCGCGTTAAGTGCATCCTGACACCGGTTGTTTATTCTTAGGCACTTGACTGACGTCGTCTGGGAAGGTTGACTCACCACAGTTGTCTGGAAACTGCAACGTGTCGCTTCGTGTCTGGTGTTATCCCGTAGACCAGGATCAGCACAGATTCAATGTACGATATTCCATGAAAATTAATTCATACGCTATTAACAAATCCGTTTTCGTAAGCCGTTACAGAGATACAAATTTTAGTGGTGATTCTGTTTATACTTACTCTGAAGTTAAGCTCAGTCAAGGGATTTTTTGATGCACCCGAATGGTGACTGCTCAGAACTATTGAAATCAGTAAATTTGACATACGCAGCTGGAAAAACAAAAAAGACAAACAGAAATTACGTTTATTTTGTTGAACAGAAAATGTTTCAAAGCCAGGATTCACATTTAAGTGAAATGAAAATTATCGTACGATCGATAAAGCGAGAAAGATACAGCACAAACCCCTTTTTGTCTGTGTCAA